AATAATTATGAGAGAGGCGTTTATGAAGTCGGATTAGTCCTCAGTATCTCGTCGCTGAGAGATACGAGGTACAGTACATTGACCTTGACAGAGACGAATTATAGCTAAAATCAGTCATTCGTTCTCCGGTTTTTTTTTTCGGTTGTGGGAAAGATGAGAGGTTCGGCGCCAGTTCTTTCTGTGGCTGGTGGAATTTCGCGTCGAAGGTTGTCCTGGAGTANAGATACGAGGTACAGTACATTGACCTTGACAGAAACGAATTATAGCTAAAATCAGTCATTCGTTCTCCGGTTTTTTTTTTCGGTTGTGGGAAAGATGAGAGGTTCGGCGCCAGTTCTTTCTGTGGCTGGTAGAATTTCGCGTCGAAGGTTGTCCTGGAGTATTGCGGACTGGAGAATAATTGACGAACAGCTTCTTCCAAATGGTATAATGAGTACTCGTGGTCCGCAGACGGGCGCCTGTCCACAGAAGGTTTTTGGCGGTCCGCGGGAAATTTTCTTCAGCATAATGAATTTATCGAAAGTAGTGACAAAGTCTGTTATCTTTATCTGAAATTTCAGGAAGACAATGGCAGTTGAAATTATCTGATGAAAAGTGAAAGTTGACTTTCCTCCTAATCAGACCCATTTTTCCTTGCTGGAGTAAATAATTTAAAGTATCTGTTTTGAGAAACATTTTGTGAAGTCCAGTTTTATAATTATTTTATAAATTCCACTGTAGCTGCTTCATTGGTTCTTGGATTAATTTGTGCAATAAAAGTTTTGGTCAGAGGACTTTATGACAGGTAGTGTGTTTATAAAATAGTTGCTGGTCTGCAACAATCGTATGGAACTGAATTAGTCCTCGAAGTTTTCTGTGTAATTTTGCCGGTCCGCGATACATTTCATGGAAATTTGCCAGTCAGCGGGCCCAGAAAGGTTGGGGAACACCTATAATCTATATACAGTAGCTGAGAAAGATTGCAATTTAAATTGAAGTTTGAAACTGAACTGTATCCTGAAGCCCCTCTAATATAGTCTTTCGAATATGCATGCTTCCATGCAAAATTATGCAACGACTGAGTAATTGCTTCTCCTTGCTTATGAGTGATGTCTAGCCTCTGAAATATTCTAAGTGGCTTTTCTTTAAGCTGAAATCCTGAAGCCTATGTTAGTCGAGCTGTTAACCATCATCTAAAGCTTCTGACGAGAAGAATATTCGGAATAACTTTTTAGAAATATTCAAGTTGTTTTAAGGCTGGTAGACTTTGATTCTTCTTGCGCGAAATTCTTTATGGGTTGTCACCTGTGGCGATTTGTTTTCCATTATTTTATGTAAATCCCTCCGAACTCCCCATTCTCGAGTGGGAGCGATTTTCTGAATATTTTTTGCGTCTTCCCATTGACGATTCCGGAATTATTTTTCGTTCTTGCGATTAAACTTCACGAAGTAAACTTAACTTGAAGCAGGTGCGAAAAAGTTGGCCGCTCGATGTGGAACTTTTTTGCAGAAGTGACTGACTTCGGAGAAAGAAATGAAGCTATCAGTCATATTCGCGGAGGCAGTCACTCACCCTTTGGGGTGAATGACAGGCGCGGTTTGTCTCACTTGGAAGTACTGTACTACCTCCGACCGTGATGTTGCCAGAAACCAGAGCAATGCTCGGGCCTGTCGGACACGAGGGAAATCCCGGCGAGCTTCATATTTCGCTTGAAGTTGAAGATTCGCTGCATCAATGGGGATATGAAAAAAAGGAGAAGAACGTGGTATGTTCGTCCGGGTTGTAATTTATCGCGTTTTTTCGTGACCATTTGTTGCGCAGTGGGTCTCCCTGCGGACGGGGTATAGGAGCAGTTTCTCCTATGAGCCACGTCTTCGTTCTTCTTCTTCTTCTTCGACTCGATTTTTCTTATTTCCTTCTTTTCGCGAAGAGAGCGTTGGGGATCTGAGTAGCATACCAGATACTGCATTTGCGAGCTACTTTCTTGCTCCATCAGGAAGCCCGAGAGAGAACTGTGCATTACCCAACAATGCCGCCTCGTTTGTAGCTTCTTAACGGAAGATTCTTTTTCTCCCCCTTTTTCCCTGGATATAGTCTGCTTTCTGCGTCCGTGTTTGCCTGGGGTCCATAAAAAATAATGTATCCTGGCTGTTGACGCACGTTCTTTCCAAAAATAAACTGAGTTTATTCTGTTCACGGAAACTTCATTTGTTTCAGGCTAGCTGTCGAGAACTGAAAATTTTTGGGAACACTTCATGCGTTTGCTTTCTTTTAATTGAATTCTGTACTGTAAATTTGATCCTACCTTAGTCTTAAACGCATTTTTCACTGAGTTTTGGAAGCATGAGTGAATGTGTGGAAGTTTATTTTTATTCGGAATGACCTGATCAATTTTTTGTTGTTGTAAAATTGAGGTAAAATGTCTTATTACCGTCTTTCTTACTTTAAATGAGAACAGTTTCTAGAAATACAGTAATTTCTCCTCAAAATAAATCTTCATCTTGAAGTGTGTACGAGTAGAAGTATGTCGGTTAAGGGAAGCATAACTGCCCTAGCTCTCACGTGTTTTAGGGTGAGAAAGGTTAACTAATTATCCACTGAAAGCAATAATTATACCTATGCGATTTATTGGTTTACACTTCACGGCAAAGACAGGTGCGGAAATTTTTTGTGTGCTGCCTGTACTCCAGATATTTTAGGATAGGCTTCAAGGACTAAATAATTGTGGTGTATTCATAAGATCGATTCGAACTGAAATATATTTTTTACGGAGTCCTGCCATCGGACACGCATACGGGAGGTTTTTCCCCGAGTTGAATTCCTTTTGATTGCATTGGTTGTTTTTAGTAATCAATGGTATTTTGTCAACTTCCGTGCAGGCTTGAGTCATTTGAATGACTACTGCTGGTGATTATAGTTGAGCGAAGTTACTATTTTCTGCGTACATAGTCCTACTTTACCTCTTCAAATGTGTTATTATTTTGATCCCATTTTCGTTTTCTCCCCGTCGAATTACACACTAATCGGCTTTTGGCCTGCATCACGGAAATACGTTTATAAGATTACGGTACAGTTTCTATATTCTTTAACCACCATCACGTGTGGCATTTGCAAGAAATTGCTGAACAACCCCGTTTTTTGAGACGTACGATGACGTTGGTTGCATCAGTGGATGCGGCTGGTGGGAAGCTCTTGCAGAAAGAGAGGCAGGGCTGCTGCCACACGCAATCCCGGCGGTACGAAGGTGACCCTAGGGAGCAAAAAAAAAAGAAGAAAAGTTCCGTTACGTTTTATTTGCAGCAATTTGCGTTACTCCGCCGCCACGAGTGATACGCTGCTGCTGCAACTGATGCTGCTGTGTATCCGGGCGGGGATCGTGTTTTTGGCACCGCAGAGGCTGCCGAAGGGGGCCGAGAATTGAATTTCTGCGCAGATGTGCCTTGTAGCCTTTGATCATTACCTCTCCCTCGTTGCGTGCTGATTTTTTCCGCTTGTCTTTTTTTTTTTTTTTTTTTTTTTTTTTTTTTTTCTTTGTTTTTTTTCTTTTTTTTTTTTTTTTTTTTTTTTTTTTTTTTTTTACTGTTCCTGGATTTCATCAGTGACTTCGCACCTTCGCTTCTTTACTTCTTGTCTTGTGCCGCATGCACTTGAAACTGCTACGCATTGTCTTGGAAGAAAATGTGCTCGAAATCGTGAGCTGGCGTGTCATTTTTGATGGTTTCGTGGATTCCCTTTTAAAATGTATGGTTTCTTTTGACTAACGCGATGTTTTCATCTAGATCCGTTCAAAAATGAATAAAGGAATTCTGCGAAGTTACATGTCTGTTTAGAAAATACACCTATCGAAAGTCGATTATCCGTGACCCGGAGGTGGGACACAAATACTGTACATATTTCCAGATCGAGTCACTATGCATCAGAATCCCGGGTCGGTCTTTTATATGTATTTGTTTACCTTTTTCAAATCTGATGGGAGAGTGGAATATGGCACGCTCCTTCAAATCCGAATTAAGGTCGATAAAGTTATCCCTGGTTGTTCAAAAATTGAATATTGTCGTTTTTCACGTTTTACAGGGCGTTCTTTGATCATCCGCGTTGAAAAATCCGATCATAAGCCCAAATAATCGAAGTTCCTTTGTATTTTTTCAATATCATTTTGAATTTTTAACGTTATTTGATGAATGAATATCAGCTATTTTCAATTTCCGCGCGCATTTATGCTCAAAAGGGTCGAACTGTGTCGGCGACTGTTCGGAAAATTATTTGAATAAGGAAATATGATGCCTTCGGTTCTCGTTGGATTGAAGTAAAATGTAACTTTGAAAACTTAGCCAAAGATCACATTAACTCGGATGAAGTAGCGATCAATTACTCACCAATGCTCTTCCAGACCCGTGGGGATTTTTGGAATATCACGACATTTATTTTCTTTTGTTACACCTTATGATGAATGAAGTTTTCAGTATTAAATTACGCGTGATATTCGATTATTCGGATGAAAACAGCCAACCATTAGCTAGGACTATCCGATTTCTACTGTGCGTGTTCGTTTTTTTGTTGCTGTTCGTTTTGAAAAGCATTTAGATCAGCATGTAATCTTGCTGAGTGGTTCATGTTTGCCGCGTTTTGCCTCCTTATTATCGGCTAACGTTTGTCATGTTGAAAGTACGCAGACTTGCAATTCATCAAAGCCAGCAGTAGGGAAATAAAAAATTCACCACTGCGACGGTTTCCACGAGAGAAAAAGAAGAACTCGTTGACACACAATTTACAATGCAGATGCGCAGCGCGAGAGACAGGTTTCTATCCCCGGTATGAATCCATTTACGGTTACGGATTGCTCGCGAGAACAAACCAGGCGGGAATCAAGTTCCGTCCCATATCGTTTTGTAAAACAAGCTGCATACACGAAAGGGTGGGATTGAGAACCGAATAAAAAAAGGAGAAGAACGAAAGGAAAAGTATAGGATCCATTCGTCCGTGGATTTAACGCTGTATGCAGACCCGTAGAGGGGGGATGATGGGTGATTTATCCGCCTCGTGCATTGAAAGCGACGCCGTGAAGAGGAGAGCCTCAGGGCCGATCCGTCGACTCACTTCGTCGCCGTCTGAGAAGGATCTCTTTTTTTTGCCCATTTTTGAACGACGGGAAATTGTGGGAGGGGATTTTTCTTTTTTTCTTATCCGTCATTTGGCCTGAGTGCGGTGACGAATGGCGAGTCAATTCGTCTGGAAACACCCTTTCTTCTCCTATCGTTGCTGCCTGCCTCTTGTCGACTTGCCCTTCCAGTCCTAACTTTTCTAACGCTTTTGAACCTCTATCTTACCCTCGAAAGGAACGCAGGGAAGGGAACCATTTTTAAATTATTCAAATTGTTGAATCATCGAGCTCCCGATATGCGAACTGGAGGATTTTCTTCATTTTCTTTTCTAACCCGCCAGCGGAAGTTAGCGAAATTTTCTTCTGGCGGATCGGCAAGTGACTTAAAACCAAATTAGAATTCAATTCTCAAACTTGCTGCGAATGATTTCCTCAAATTGTTGAGGACCAACGGTAGAAAGACACTGAATCCCAAACTTCCGCCCGTTGGGATTTGCACTACGGGTGTCATTGATAAATAAGCAAAGGTTTCCCATAAGTCACATGTCTGAATGTGAAAAAAAATTTCATAATTTCTAGGTGTTCTCTGTGATTGAATCCAGGCTTATAATAATGCATCTCGTAAAAGTGGATTTAATTTGATTTTAATTTAATATAGATAATTTCCGGTCAATTTGATTTCCCCGAAAAAATTCAAAGATCTGTAAAAAAAAAAAAGCGTTTTTGTTACAACTGCCGTCATTCGTTGGTACCTATTGTAAACAACATCAAACCGTCTTGAAAGTGGTAAAATTCGCGAACTTTTTTTTAAATACATCTAAAACCATTCCGACGTGATGAAGTCATGCAATAGAAGTGTGGATTTTTGAATATGCACGGAAGTAGCAGTCGAAAATGGGCACGAAATTTACTGTAGTGTTGAGAAAATTCCCGCGAAAATTCGGTTCGCGAAGGACGAAAACTATGACAGTTTTGCTTTTCGCTTGTGTTTTCTGCTAAAAAATTCTGAATTAATGATGAATCTCGTTTTTTTTTTTTGCAGGACCCGGGAAGCGCAGGAAGTATACGAACGAGCCCTGTTTTACGACAGTAACAACCCGGACATTTACTACAACGTGAGTCACAAATCCCGAAGTTTATCATCCAACTGGGCCAGTTTTTTTTTTATGCGAGCTGTTAAGCATAAAATATTGAAGAGATCTTGCAGATACAGTATTTGGAAAATGGCTTTCGGTGATTCCGCTGTTTCCTTAGTAGGCTTTTGAAGTGTGATTTCCGTCGGGATCTTCGAATAAGTTCGAGCTACGCTGGAGGTTTTGTCGACGTGCTCAAGTCTCCGTCGGAACAATTTTCCTCCTATAGTGGTCTTTTCAAGTGGTGTTGGGGAGAAACTTAGTTTCGCCGCCAGCGAACTGGCTCAACTGTGCACCCGGAGTAGATGAGATTTCTCTGGGCTGGAATTCGGAAGTTTATACTGGATTATTTTGAACACTCCGTTGAATCCTTTATGGCACGATATTCTACCAGATCTACGTTTCTAGCTGTCTTGCGAACGGAAGAAAATGTGAGAAATTTATTGCGAATCCGCTGATTATGCAAGCCGAGAATCGCTGTCAGAAACGTTCGGGGGCTTTTGCGGCTGTTCGAAGAAAGAGAAGAGTGGAGTAAATTGAGAGAGGAGATCAATTAGAATTCGTTGACGCACGTGAAGTAAATGATCGACAATTTAGAGGGTCGGAAACGATATGTTAGGTGTAACCCGTATAGGTAAACCCACAAAATATTTCCCCGAATTGGTTACGGTACAAAAATTTATTCTGAAAAGGCCCGCACTTCTGAAGCAGCACAGGGCGATTCACGCAAAGTTATACTCCTAAAAGCTAAAATATGTTGATTGTCTATGAACGTGGAATCAATAGATTTATATTCGTGGTGTGAAAAAGAAGGGGAATCCTGACCTCTACTCGACAAGATTTTGGAGATTTGGAAACAAAAACAAAACTCCCTCCTTTTCGCAATTCTGATCCTTGTTCGATCCACTGACTATATATCTAACGGGCAGACGAACGGGCGACCAGAATCGATGTGCTGTGAATGCCGTAAATTTCCCAGATTTGAGCCACTACTTCTGAACTCTAAAATGATATTTATTCAAGAAAAAATATAACTCTATTCCTCCTTGAAGTACTATAATAGCATTTCGTTGTTTACTGGTGGGCTCTCTTCACAACGAAATTGAAGGGGCCATAAAAATCGTTGCAAACAGAATTTTGTTGTAGAGAACCGGTATAACATGGGGATAGAACCCTATGAGACCAAACAAAATAGCTATACAGAGAAAATTGTTGTAGACAAGATCGTTGTAGGGATAGTCGACCTATGTATGCTTTTTAAAATGCCTTTCAAACCTTGGCTGCGGCTCTTATTTGAAGTGATGCAGTATCTTTTCAACTAATTTTGTAGTAAACTGGCCTCTAATCTCCCAGAACACGTTTCTCGGTTCTACTGTTGATATTTCATCGTTAATATCAGTTGCTTGAGAAATTTTTTTATTCCTTCATTTTTTCCTGGAATACCTGCATTAATATATTCTGTCTTGCGCGTATGCCAAATTTTCCCAATGCTGTATAAGATAAGTAATTTTTTGCGGCTTATACAGTACCTCTGTTTTTCCGTCTTCGTCCTGAATACACGGCAAATAAACTAATGCTGTAACTGGTTTCGTTATTCCCAGTTGGGCGTGGTGTTTTTAGAGCAAGGGAAAGCGCTTCAAGCACTCGCATACCTGGATAAGGCCCTGGAGTTCGACCCAGATCACACACAGGCCCTGATGAACTCCGCTATCTTGATCCAAGAATCGGGCATCGCGCACTTGCGCACAACAGCAGCAGCTCGTCTGATGAAGCTGCTGGCGAAGGACGAACGCAACGAACGAGTTTTCTTCAACTTGGGCATGTTGGCCATGGATGACGGAGACGTGGCTTCTGCTGAGGCCTGGTTTCGAAAAGCAGTCGACGTGCGGGAGGATTTTCGCAGTGCGTTGTTCAACTTGGCACTGCTGTTGTCCGAAGCCCGAAGGCCGTTGGAAGCGGTTCCTTTTTTGAACCAGCTGTTGAAGCATCACGGTGACCACATCAAGGGTCTCATTTTGCTCGGGGACATTTATATCAATCATATGAAGGATCTGGACGCAGCTGAGAAGGTGAGTCACGTGATTCTTCCTTAAACTGATTTGAAAAAAATATGTAATACTGTACTGTCTTCTATGGTTTCTCACTGTACAATCCTCTTCAATTTTCTGTTCTGAACTACTCGGGATTTCAAGCAACATATTCTCATACCCCGTGCTAGGATTGGCGAGATAACGAAATCCCCGTTGTATCCAGTTTGTATGTCGAAGCAATTTTTGCCGTTCAGACTTTTTTACTCTCTGAGTCCTTCACTTGTTTAGCAAGAGTCTGCGGCAGAGATGTCGGACTCAAAAAGTTCCAAAATTTCGCTCTCGATCCCGAAGTAAACTTTTGAATCCATCTGTTCAAATCATGCGAGAAACCGTACGCGATTGAATTACAGCGTACGTATAGGCGGTTGCATTTAAGGGATATTAAAAAAATGGTCCTAATTTAGGACTTTGCGCCCGGAGGTTCGCATGTCAGTATTAAACCGTGATTTTCTCGTATCGCCAGTTTCATTGCACCTTTTCTGAAAGTTCAACGGAAGAGCAAATGTTCCTGATGGCATTTTAAAAATATCTGCCGTTTAGGGATAATTGATTCCACAATACTGTATTGGAAAATAATCATGGAATTTCGAAAATTTTCGCCTGATGAATTTTCTTAAATCAGTCCTGAAACCGAGTGGAAGTTTCTTGATTTTCTTGCTACTCATCAATACTCGTATATGATTAATAATTGCCTAAGTCGTCGGCACTTCCGCCTGTCATTTTTGTATTCGAAGTTAAAACATTTTACTCAGGTTAATCTTTCTCACAACCAGTAAGATTATTATCAGCATTTCAGATGTGTAATAATGAAAGCCACGTTTTAGAAAACGAAGGTGAAATTAAGGCATGCCGTTTTCTTTTTCGTTGCTGTTGAGAAGAATGCGTCTTGAAAGAAAATTGGTGACGGGAGAATTTTCTCTCGGCGCTCATCCAATATTTCTGCCGCTACTTTACGCTAAATTCGGTTGGAGGAAAAAATAAAATAAAAAATATTCGAAAATTCGAATTCTCACGGTAATGAGACACATAGGCCGCGTATACGCCTTCGACGATTTATTTTTAGTGCCGTACGTGTCGAATACTGTAGCGAAGTGACACTGCGCGGAAGATCACTCGTTACCCGTCTAGTCATCTTCTTGTTATTGTGTACTCGAGCTCTCCGAGTATTCGCCGTGTCTGACCCGGGGGGTTCCTTTATGCTCCAGCAGCGATCCCTGTTTGCGAACGCCTAGGACGTGGGAATGATTGGATTTCAGTTGGGCCGGCACGGGTTCTGGGATGAGACGGGGAGGAGGTTGCTTTCGATTGAGACTGGAGCAGCGTGGGGTAACACTGCTACGATGTTTCGTCGACCCGTCTTGTGCGCCGCGTCTGATGAAGCACGGCCGGGTCGTCTTCGAGTTGAGGAATGTGCGGAATGGGCTTCCTTAATCAAGACCCAGAAGCCCTACTTCTGATGTCTTTGTAGACCACCTCCTTCCTCGGGTCTCCTTGATTCGCGTACCTCTGATTTCTCTCATTAGTTTTCCGCGAGATATCGCCGACGGCATTTCCGACGAAATGCCAAGGTAGCAGCAGAAGGAGCACATTCATGGTGTGATTTCTGTCTTATTAAAGAGAAAAGGTTCTCGCTTTTTATTTCATTTCTAGAAAGCCAGTTAATTTTGAAACTCCGTAGAACCCAACTGTTCTTCACACTTCTGCAAACTGTTGACTGAAGTGTTTTTCCCCCTGGTATTGATGAGTTGCTTTTCAAAAGTAGTTTTCCCAGTATGATTTGGGTTGCGTTGTGGAATCGATCGCTTCTTCAATTTGCATGCAAATCGCAAGTTCTAAAAATATGTGAGTATTCAAATCAGCAAAGTCTAAACTGATGAAACATCCAATATAGTACTTCGAATCAGCGTGATCTGAACTGTGTACAGAAAGCTGAATCTTCTCCCTGAGAACTTAAATTATTCTTAGAGTGGCTTTTTTATTCTTAGTGACATATGGTACGTAATTTTTCTTAGAATAAAAATTCCAATTATAAATTGAATTACCTCTTTCTAGCAAGGTTATTCTTGCTCTGCGTTCAGGAATATAGTACTTATAATTAAAATTAACAGTCAAATTTTGGTGCATTTTGTGCAAAATACTTGCAGTTTTTGAAGCAACTGGATAGTGTGTCTTAGGGATGTTGTTATTTTTTTCCTTTTTTTAGTTTTTGGGGCTGAAACTGCATCCAAGACTCGTGCACATTTTATAAGAACGGTGCATTATTAAAAAACCATGTGCAGTAAACCTGACATTCGTAGAGAGGTTTCATTTCGAAAATGTTTTTTCATGAAACCATAGAACTTCCAACTGCTGGGCAAATATCAATGTTTTCTCCCCTTGGCGTTGGTGAGTTGACTAGCCAAAGGAAGTTTTCCTTCGAACTTGCATTCACGGCGAAACGTGAGAAGGCTTGAAAATTTAGGTGGGCTACTGGGGTAGAAAAGATTGCTGGGTGGTGCGATTTTTCTTCTGCTAGTTCAAGAAACGCAAGGAGTGATCGCCCAGGAAATCCATAGAGACTTACGTGGAAAATTCGAGAGCAGGAAAAAGGTAATGCATTAGTATATGTTTTCCTTCGCGGAATCTGATATCGGACGCATTTCGGTTGATGTTGCCTAGGAGTGATCGCCCAGGAAATCCATAGAGACTTACGTGGAAAATTCGAGAGCAGGAAAAAAGGTAATGCATTAGTATATGTTTTCCTTCGCGGAATCTGATATCGGACGCATTTCGGTTGATGTTGCCTTTGGAGGCGCGGTGGGAAAGCCCCGGGGGTCCTTGCTTTTGCAACGAGGGGTGAATCGTTAATGGGGGTGATTTGTTCGCAGCCAAGATTTTCATTTCGATGCCCTGGCTTTCCCGTTTTTGCTTTCCTCTGGCGTTTTATTCCTCTCTAAGCTGTATCTTGGTGAATAGAAGTATGAAATCGTGTAACCTTCCTGTCAGGAAACCTGCGGTTTATCTGAATGGAGTTTGTTTTCGGATTTTTTTTTCAATGACAAAACCTCTGAATTTCACTTTTAGAAAAAAAAATTGAGGGGTGTTTTCCTTTGGGAATGTTTTGAAAACCCATTTGGGACTTATTGCATGAACTTCCACGATTTACATGCGTACCTTACCTTAATTTTCACGAAAGATTTTTACTCAAGTTTAAGCCGAAATTTTTTTCGAAGCAGGGCTAAAAACAAATTCAGTTGCGGCTTTCTAATCGAGTTATGTTCAGAATGAAGTTTCAAATATTTTGCTGTGGTTAAAATATGGGTTAAACCATTTTTAAAGTAGTGAAAATGAAATGTTTTTCAATTTTAGACCCCCTTGAGTTCATTCGAAGCTGGTCATTTTTTATTTCGAAAGCCTAATGTTGAAAAGTTCACGAACGGAATTAAATTCCTCTCCTCATCCATGTTCAGGCCGCATTTTTGTCTTCAAAATTTAGAATTCAAAACATTCTGAATTCAAAATTCAGAAATTTGTTATTTATAATTTGCTCTTGTGCCCTTCTTTGGAAATAAATGTATTTCGAAGCTTTAAAAACGATTCGATGGTGTGGGAAACCGTGTTCCGTGGGGAATCTGCTTAAAATTGGATGGCACTTGGTTTCAAAATCCTTCATGGTTTCCCTTCTTGCAGTAATTTAGCCAAAGATAAAGTCATCAATTGGTATATGTACTTCGAAACGATCTAGTTTGTGGACCTCTTAATCCTCGAAGATCTCCTGGTGTCTGAAAAGAGCGTTCGAGGATCTCCATGAAAAAAATGCGTCATTTCCCGGAATGGAAAAGATCGTTAGCCCACACACGAAGGGGTTCCTTTGGGTGAATCTTCTCTGATGGTGAAGGGAACTCTTCCGTTTGTTCAGCAAGGCAACGTTTATTGTTGCGGGGTTTCCTTTTTCTTCATGGTGATCGAAGCTCGGGATATAAATGCATAGAAAAAGAACCGATTTTTCGGATTGACAAAAAGAGGTAGTGGAGGGGGAAACAGCTTTGTGAGATGAGCTTTTGTCCGTTTGGATATTTGTACGCGTCTCCCTCGGGGGCTTGCAACCGAGATTGCCGAGGGATTGTCGCTGTTGCATCGCTTCGCTTCCTCGCTTACAACTCGTGCAACCCATGCAACCCGTGGATGGAAATTGACGCTCTCTGCCCCGAGGTGGTATGATGCGGCAAGGTAGGAAGCCGATGTCGGGCTATTTTTCAAGCCGAGATTCAAATTGACCCCGGCGGAATCGATATCGAATCCCGCCCTAAACGACGTCGGTCTTGCCCTTCCGCCCGCACGGGAAGCTACTGCTGCCTGAGGAAACGTGCTCCCTTTTGTTACGACTTGCTTTGTCCCGAGGGGAGGGTTGCGGTGCGCAATGTTTCCTTGTCGAAATACCGCCGACGTTTGTTTGCGGCAGTTTCGCATTTTTCAGAAACCCAGCTCGATAGTCGAGGAAGCGTGGAAAAAGTCTGTCTTTCTGTGCCGGAGAATGAAGCGAAAGTATTTGTATAATGTGTATTAGAAATACACGTATATCTTCATTTTGCATGATTTATTTTTCAAGCGGCATGCTTATTTTTATCCTGATTCGTTTGAACGAAAAAATTATAAACACTGTGAAATACTGCGGCAGTTTTTCAGAAACTCGGTTGTATATCCAGCTATATGTGTATGAAAGGGAAGTGAGTTTCGGTACTTGTGAGCGTAGTGGAAGAAATTTGAAAAGAAACGAATGACTGTTGTTCAACATGTATGCGGTAGTATCAGCTTCTTCAGAAAATCCACTTCAAGTTGAGTAACCCTTGAAAGAGCAAGTTGCTCCTTGTGTGCCCTCTAAATTAAGCAAAAGTAATTTAAAATTCAATTACTTTATCTAGTTTCTAATAATATAGCATGTTTGTTTCTACGCTGTTCACCCGTTTTTTTCTGAATACCAAAAATTATTGTACATTACTTTAGTTTTTAAATATATTTTCGAGGTTTTCTCGTCAGTCTCGGAGTTTACCAAAATCTTGATTCGAAATATGAGAAGGTCTGTATTTTTCGGGGGTAGCAAATGAAGCGAAGGAAATTTTAAAAATAAATCACTTTTTACATAAGCACGGCATTCCATGATTCTCATTGTGCTTAGACCCAAGGCATAGATTTTCCTCCGTCGAAAAACTGCGGACGTTTGTTCCTGGCAGTTTCACGATTTTTACAGATGCACCGTTCGATATCCACGAAGACACTAAGAGATTCCGTATTTTTTTCTGCGCTGGCAAATAAATCAAAAGCGAGGTAAAAATGAATTTTTATATTTTCAAGTGCTTTCTCCGTGGGTTTTATTCGCTGGGGTTTTTATTAATATGGTTAAAAGTTATAAAATACGGATTCCCGATCTTTTTTTGCGCCAGTTTCACATCGGGGTTCATATTTGATCGGCCGAAGACATGCTGGGAAATAATTACTGTATATTTTTTACTCTTGAATCAGCGAGCAGTTTAAAATGCTTTCATAAGTATTCTACTGGATGCATTAAAAATCCGAGATGTCGGAATCAAGAATTATTTGCTTTCCTCTTGGGAAAATGCTGCAAACATGTTTTTCAGAATCCGGTCCTATGGCACGTTTAAGGGTTCCGAATACAAAATGTCAGCATCTTCCGGCTAATTAGGTATCTGCTTTTGTTTTGAAGCTACTCCAGAAAATTGCAAGACAGTCAGATAAAATGAAAATATGCATCTAAATAGCTCCAGCAAAATAAAATTAATGGGTTTCAGTCGTGTATATTTTTTATAGTTTTATTGCGTTCTAAACGTGAAAATGTGCGCCCAGAAAGACGCATATTATTTTGAGATATGATTTGATCAGCCTGTGTCGCAAAGTTGATGTTTGCAACAGGAACGTAGCAGAAAATTTTTATCCTATTGAGCGAATCACATTCTTGCCTCCCAGAAACGTCCTTCCCATATTCTATTTTCTTTGCCTGAAGGACACAATTTTTGCTGGAGTAGAATATTTCGTCAAATGAAATTATTTTTCTGAATTTATGAGGGAATCTTTCTGATTATGGAACGATGCTGAGACTGCAGCAGTGCGGAAATTCGCGGAATATTTTGCCGAAGAGTCGACGACGAGATCACTGAAGGAACGCGATTGCGGAGAAGCTGGTGATCTTGTGTATATGGAACTTTGATCTCTGGGGTTTTATATTGCATATGATTCAAGCTATCTTTATATTTATTTTATTTACGTTTGAGGTGTCTTTGGTTGAGACCACGGAGCACTCGAAGCGTCCTAGAATCTTACTGATTATGCATTGAAAACCGCCAGTCTGATGTATTCAGAGGCATTCGAATTTTCTCCTGTCTTCCTGATGCAAATCAAATTACAGGATTTGTGACCCTATTAGTTATGAGCTGGATCAATGCGCGAACCAAAGATCCTTACA